GTATTGTGACCCTCTATCTCTATTTTTGTAAGGATTCATGTCTTCTTCTTCAACGCGCTTAAGAGAGATCGATTTGGTCTAGCTTATGTTGTTATCCATCACAATCATTCCCTACGAATATTCTCTTCGATTCAGTAATGAACTATTCACTCATTCAGAAATAAAAATAGTGACAATATAAAGCATAAATGGAGAACACAGTTTCTCAAGATTTCTAAATCTTTCCACTTTCGCTCATTGAGTAATGGCTGACGAGTCATCATGTGTATATCGATTGTTTAACATTCTGGTTTTCAAAATACCTAAAAGGCAACAAGTGGACATCGATTGTTTCCATTTTTTCTTCATCAACCAACAAACACTTTAATTATCAAAACTACTACCCTTGGTGATGCAATTTCACCATTTAAGCCTCAGGAAGGAAGACTATTCATAACTATCTAATTTCACATGTTATTTTTCTTGCTAGAATTACTGTTACAACCTTACCCCACTATCTAACATTTTCACCACATGGAATCCTTCAAAAAGCTTGAGCATTTGAATTTTGTTTCACCAATTAATTAATGTGGTATACGAAAAATTGATTTCATTAGGCTAGTGTGTTAGTTAACTCCAAGAAAGCAAGTAATTTATGTAAAAACATTATCAGAAAATATATAAGACTATAAACGAAAATGAAAATTATAGATTTAAAATGTTCTTCGCTAGTGGAATATCATGAAAGAAATATGAGTATTTGCAAAAATCATTCAACTTAGAACCTTCTAATTGTTTCATGTTATAGTGGCTAACCGGACAATTATAGTTGATATAAAATGCCGTAATGTATAGAACAAAATCTTTAATATTGGTTTAAATATTCATTATGGTAGTGTAGAGAGAATAGTAATAAATGACAAGTTCTAGAACATTCAATGAATATTAGCCAGATGTTTTGGTTCACGTGAGCTTTGTGAAATTGCACACGTTTTGTTCTTTATGAGATATTGGTAATGGGCTTGAGAGCCCAATGGCTCATCATGTGTGACTCTTTGACGCATACTCTGTTTCACTTCTTCTTCGACATTGCTCTCTGTTGTGTAGGACGAATGCTGTCGACATCAAGCTTTGATGAAAATTCTCCTATATTGAGAAAGAAAGAAAAACAGAGTTTCAAAATCTTACTCTTTGTCTCTCACCTTTTGCAAAATTGGAAAAGATTACAACTTAGTGCCTCTTGGTTTCTCGATATAGGAGAATATTCTCTAGAGACTGATGTTGACGGCAAACAGAAAGAGTTCTCTTTTACTCGTAAAGATTGAAGAAGAAGGAGAGAAGAAGGTGAGAAATGCATCGATTATATATAGAGAGAGACCTCACCTCAACATTGTTCACCACGACACAACAACAACAAGGAGAAGTATCTTTAAAACCAAAAAGAAAAGAAAAGAAGAAGATCAAAGTTTGAAGCGCAAGAAATGGGAGGGATTGCTGTCTTTAAGTGGGAGATAGATGAGTTTACCCTGCTCCACAACAGAGAGAACTGGAACGCAAGGTATTGTGAACTCGCTTCTAGTTTATATGATGATCGATGCATTGCGTTATATTATTATTGATTTCTTGTGTTTATACCTTTTTTGAAGAGTGATAACGGAGGCAGCTTGGGATCCAGACGAAAATTATTTGGGTGGTTGGTGTGGAGTGAACAATGGATCATGGTGTGCCGTTTCGAAAAGGGGTCGAGTTGCTTTTCTTGTGGACTCAACGTTACATGAAGACGGCTACGGTGTTACTGACGTTCCCGAGTTCAACGCCTCGAACTTAACTACGACTTTCCTGGTTTGACTAATG